CCTTGCTCACTGTTGGCATGTTTGCTTCTTCGGAAAGCCGCCTTGCTTACAACCACTTTATAGCCTACGTTGTACTTGGTACTTCTTACGCTACATGTTCCTCCTTCTGCTTCCGGTACTGGCGCTGCCTACCTCACGGTCACCTCCTTTCTTACGCGAACGCATCTCCTCCCTACCAATACTCTATATCGTTCTCGTATTCTTCCGTCGATAAACAGCGCAGATTTCCTCGGTATGACCATAAGCAAAGTGGTTTAAGCTATGATGGAAACAAAGAACATCGAATACCGCGACATCATTCCTGGAGAGTTAGATTGCCTTGGTTTTGGAGTGTCTGGGTATGTTTTTGCGGTCGATGATGATACTGTGGTAAAGGTAGCCCTTGAGTCAGGCAATGAGTATATGGACGACGAATTGCTTGAGAGTCTCTCGATTGAGCGGAAGATTCTTCAGCGACTTGGGAAGCATGACCGAATATGCCAGCTAAAATATCAATTAACCGTGGGTTAGTTCTTGAAAGGCAGGTACAGACATTAAGGGACCGACTGAGCAATCTTCGAAAACACAACAAGCTACCTTCTACAGCGGAGGCATTCAGATGGTCAATCCAGGCAGCAGAGGGATTGGCTTATTTGCAAGAAAATAGCGTTATCCACTACGATACGTGCTCTCTCAATCTCCTTCTAGATAAGGAAGATAATCTCAAATTCTGCGATTTCGGCGGATCGTCAATCGACGGCTCCATACCTCGAGCAGAGCCTGAGACGGAGTTTCAACGGCCTGGCAAAGATATCGATATGCCAGATGCACAAGATGATCTGTTTAACCTTGGCAGTATCATATTTGAGATCTGGACAGGCAGAGCGCCTTCTTGGAAAGAGACCCCGGTGCACGACCAACAACAGTTTCCAGATTTGACGGGTGTTCTGCCTGCTACTATTATCATGAAGTGCTGGCATGGCCACTATCAATCAGCTACGGAAATTATCGAGGCACTAGAGGCACTCTAAGAAGAGAAAAATACGTGCACCAGTACGCCTAAGGCGGTAGGTGGTCTCACCCATCTGGTACTGTATATTCTAGCACGCAAGAATCAGATTGTCTTGTTCTCGTCTGCTAGTACCATGACTACTAGGCTAAATAATGAGTAACTGCCGCTGTTCAAGTATGAATGGATTGACCAATGACCTCAGCGAAGATGTTCTGCCTATGTTTTCTTTGCCAAGAAATTTCTAAAGTCGTATCTTTGGCTTTTCTTCACAAGAGGAGAGTCTCAGCAATCAGATCTCTCCCAACACGACGAAGCAATGGACATTCCTCGTGTACTCCTTGAAACCAAGGAAGGACACAGCTTTTGCTAGCAGGACGGCTACGACAGGATTGCTACGGGGGATCTCAAAGCCTTACTCCAATTCACTCAGGCAACACAGATTTCTCTACAAGCGAATCCCAGGCAGACCCCGAAGGTTTCGGCCGACGTGCGACCCCAGCACAGCCACAGCTTGCTTCCCCTCGCATCCGTTCACCAACATCGTCACTGGCCAAATCAATAGAGTTGGTGCCTGAGGACCCTAGGACGCTTTAAGGCCTGATTGTGCCAACTGCTCCGGACCATGTGGCGGTGCCTGACACCTTGGACCGACCTAGAACGAAAAACATCTCATCCGCGCATAAGGCGCTTGACCACATGCAGATGATTCTGCGGGAGCACAGGGATCTCGAACCGGGAAAAATGCGTGTGCCTAATCTATTCGATCATTGAAGAGCATGTGTATCCCTCTTTCCCTGCCTTGACTTCGGTCATGGTAGAGATTAATGTCATGTGTTTATCTACTCCTATCTGCTGACTGATTTTCGATACTGTATTCCTACATATCACATAAGGATTGTACATAATCCGGGCGTCCTAGAATCGCAGAAAAGCCATATCACACCACTTGGAGCTGCGGCTGGACTACGGCTACTGTTTGTTACTTGTCCATCTCACGCATTGACCTCTTCTCCACGTTATTCTCAATTCTGTACAATTCTGTTGTTTCTGGCAAACCAAGATGTCTCCATTGGAGAAAAGAAGCCTGCAGAACACCCTCGTCGTGGACTCATCGACACCAACCGATCTGCCGCCCTCATACGAACACACAGTCCTGCCTAGCACTAACCCTTGGACCGACAGCCCGTCATCACAGAATCAAGTGCCTCAACGGACTTCGACACCTCTCTCCGTCCCCTCACAAAACCCGCTCGTGGCCCTGTCCCGGCTAAAGACAGTGTCGTTCGCAAAATACCGGGTCCGCGACTCCAAGCTCTCCGAGGACCAGACCGTCACCACGACCACCAACCCGGAACTGACATCCAGCTCGACGTCGTCATCGACCTCACAACAGCAGCAAAGGACACTCCTCAAGTTCATCCGCGAGCAGGCAAGTCTGCCGCCGAAGCCCATCATCGTGATCCGAGGGACGCACGGGAATGGCAGTACCGTGGTGGATTTCGATCTAAAGCTGAACCTGACGACCATGTTGGACTTGGACTGGGGAGGAACCGAGAGCGGCGGGGGCCGGGTCAAAGTTAAGCGTTACCAGCATGGCTCGTCGAATGGGTCGCCAAAGCAGATGACAAGGGAGGAGATGAACATGTCTCCCTTGGAACTGTGGACGAAGAGGTTTTGTGAGGACAAGGCTGAGAACCGAAGGTGAGTCTGCCAGCTGGTTGGATCGGCGTCGATTCCTCATACTGCCTCATGCCCAAGCCCGTGTCGGATTGTGTTCTGCTCAGACCTCCAATATCTGCCTTACTACACCCTCCACTCCTCGACACATTGTGTTACTGCTTGTCTCCTTTTCAGCTTTATCAGGCTCCTCTTCCACCCCAGTAATCAGCAACCAAGGTCCACCGCATATATCCTTGATTTTCCAGTGTCTTTATCTCTCGTAACGAATAACTAACCACATATCTCGCCATCTAGCTTCGCGCTGCACCGCTCGACACCGAACCTCCCCATCGCTTTGCTCGAGGGCTACGCCCGGAATCTCCTAGCCACAGTCAAGTACCGGGGCAAATTACACGTCGAGTTCCCAATCCAGTACTCGGACGTGGTGATCCAGCGCAAATCGAGCAACTGGTTCACTAATATGCTCCGGCTGTATCCGACCAAGAAGTACGAGGTCGTCGAGGTGGAGTGGCCCGTCATCGGCACAGTTGCGGACGACCACGGCGGCGGCCAAGGAGACTCGGGTGAAACAGCTGCAGCAAGAGGGTTGAACGCTCCGTCATCGTCGCCACCACCGTCCTCTAGACCAGCATATCAGCGCACAGGGACCGGAGCTGGCACGACTGCCGCAGAACCAACCTCTTCAGCATCCTCCACCTCATCCTCTTCCTCCTCCCACCCAACCGGCAGCGGACCCGGAGAAGGCAGCGACCGGACGGGCCTCCCGTCGCTCATCGCGCAGGAATGGTGGCGGGAGTGGCAGTTCGCGATCCGGAACGCCGTGCTGTCGGGCCGCAAGGGCTGGGTCACGGTGGAGGACTGGATGGAGGCCAAGATGGGGATGAGGGAGAAGGAGAGGGCGAGGGAGTGGGGAGTTGATCACGAATGATGGCCATACCCTCTCTCTTCTCCATTCAGCCTTTACCCCTTTAGTTATTCTTGCGCATTCTAATTTTTTTTGTTACCTCAAGGACGAAATACCAAGCCGGATGGATGAATGTGACGGACATGACGGATACGGCCCAAAAATATCACCCTATCTATATCTATGTGCAACCACAAACCACAAAAATACCTACCCGGAGGAGGACAATGAACCGAAACCCCGGGGTTTAACAGGTTGATGGAATTTCCCCCCTTTCTTTCTATACCCCCATGAGCGAGCACGCAAGCAAGCAAGCAAGCGAGTTCTCTCTTTCCGCATCACCCCCTTGGTCTATCTTGGTTTTCATTTCTATGTTCCCACATGTGTATTGGTTCAATACTTGGATTGAGAGGATATATGTATGTATGGTACACACACACACATGGTTACGGAGATTTGCATATATTCTATAGGGAGATATATGTGACAAATGGACAGATGTATGGATGAATCAATGAATTGATGAATGAATATATCGATGAATGACCGAGACTCCTCCATTTCCCACAGCACGATTGACTTGATATCTCGACCAGTAGCTAGCCAAGTACGTAACTGATTGACCGAATGGTACGATACTTGGCCTCTCGCTATCCCGCGCAAAAAGGCTGAGGTAACCACGAGTCCACGACCCAATAGAGATACAGTGATCGTTGAATGGGGGAATATGATATGCCGCCCGTTTGTGCTTTGGTCGACTCAACAACGTTTGCGTGTTGTGGCTATTCTTCGTGGTAAGGGTGGCGGAAATGGTAGGCCTTGATACGCAATGGAATGGTATGTTTTTCCTCTGCTATGAAGCTTTGGGGTTATTGACACCAGCTATTTCTTCTTGCTCTGCTATTGCTCTAGCCCTTGCCAACGCTCACGCTCACGCTCCCGCCATCCTCGTGTTCTGCTCGCTCCAGCTCCAGTTCTCGTTCCAGTTCCAGCCCCAGTTGTGTTTCCAGCGCCAGCTATTCTTTCCGATATGCCCTCGCCTCCAATATCTGGGGCCACAGCTCCTCACATATCGCCGCCGATACCTAGGGTACGTCGATCCATCTCCGTCTCCTCACAAGCCACCAGCGCAATTCGTAGACAAAGCGGAGAGTTCCCAAGGTGGTCAGGACATGTTTTGCAGCGGAATGATTTGTTACATGGATGATGATGATGATGATGATGGCAAACATGGCTCGTTTGTTTTTGTTTTTTTTCCTGGTGGCGGTACATTTGTCTTCCCAACTGACCAGGCAGCCAAGCATTCAAACGATGAACCAACCAACCAACAAGCCGAATCATCAAGAATCCTGGGTAATGAGTAACGGGTATCCTGCTGGTGTTTGATGTTTCTTGTCATGCTCGTTGCTTAGTTCTTGTTGTTGTTTACACGATAGGAAGCTCTGGCAAGGACTCGTCCGAGTCGTTCTGCTCGTCGTCCGCGTCCGCAGCAGCAGCAGCAGGGGGCGGCGTGCCGTCGTCGTTGTCACTGCCACCACATTCCAGTGGCGGGCGGGTGGAAAATCCGAAAGCCAGGGCGATTCTCTTGTACCATTCATCGTCCGACGGGTAGTCGGGGTCCCTCGGCGGTTTGCCCAGCATCTTCGCCAGCCAGAGCCGGCTGGAAGCATCCATTTCAAGCGCGTCGGTCACATCATCCGGTCCGAAGCTCTCCACCACGGTCTTGAGACCTCCTCTCGCCTTGGTCATCGCGTTGAACTCTTCTGCGGTCATGGTCTTTGTGACTCCTCCAAGTCCTTCCGTCTGGACTATCAAACAACAGGCGTCGAGGCACAGGATCGGCGACATTCGGTACTGATTGTTTCCATGGTCAAGTATCATCCAAGCCATGTTGAAGGTGTTTTTGGGCTTCTCCGCCTCTCCTTCGACAGGGCGGGGATAGATGACTGGAGCGACTGGAGCCGGAAGACCAGAGTCGGGAGCCGGAGTCGCGCCAAAGCTCTGGGCAATGTCTGCTGCGACGACTCTGCTGAACCACCTCGTCCCCTCCAAAGCCGTCTGGGGCAGTTCTTCGCACTTGTTGAACATGTATTTCTCTCGGTTGAGCAGCACGAGCTTTCTGGCCTCCTCGCTCTCCATGATGATGAGTGGCTTTTTTCTCTTGACGCAAAAGTCTCTGGCGTATGCGGTGCCGAAAAGGGTGCATCTCAACCAGCCCGCGTCGACGACCCGTTGGGCGTCTGGCCCGCCTTGATCCGCTTTGAAATCGGCGCCAGTTACAGAGTATCGGTGGTAAAACTCCTCGGCACACATGGGGCATCGCAGCGAATGGCCACGGACGGTACCGAGCTGTTGTTGAATCCAGTCCAGAAGGCAGGTCACCGGCCAGCTGTTCCTACAACTGTTGTTTCTGCCAACATGGGTGAGGACCTCGACGTTTGGTCCCACGGGCCCACGACACCAGATGCAAGTTTCGTGGTCTCGGGGACCGCGCCCGCGCCCTCGTTCCCAGCCAGACTGGTACAAAGCAAGAAGACGAACAAGGTTGTTCCGGTCGCCTAAGTCTACGGTAGGGTGTATTGTTTCTGGGTCCAGTTCCAGGCAAAAGGCAGTGGAATTCACGATCCCGTCGTCGTCCTCTTTGGCCGGCGTGGCTGGTGGCTCAGACTCAGTCGTGCTTGAATTTCCATCGTCAGCCTGGGTCTGGGATTCGGAATCTGGTGCTGCAGACAATGACAAGGTGTTGAGAGACTTGGTACCGTCGCTAGCCTGGGATGTTGCCAGCGACTCCTCCTTGGGAACGCCTTGTGCGTCGGCCATGGTTGTGAATGGGCTGTCAGGATCTTCACTCGCCATGAGAGTGAGAAGAAAAGAAAGAAAAGAATGAATGAAAGATCTGGGGCGCGGTTTTGGTTTGCTGTTCAGTCCTGAAGAATCCCCAGCCGCGCCGTGGTTGAGGCTAAAGAGGGGCACAGCCGCGCATACAAATTCAAGGCCGGACACTTGCAATACAAGTCAGGCGCGCGGAACCTCTTCAAGCCCTGCAATTTGGTTGGCTCACAGCCCTGGAAACATGACAAGTCTGGTTTGGTTCGTTTTTCTTGTTTGGATACTAGAATTCTCTGTGTTTGTCGTTTGTGGCCAAGAGAAACCACGACGCAACCATGGTGCTGGGTCCGCGGCCCAGGACAACAAGGCAAATGCTATACTTCCACGATCATGATGTGAGGTGGGTATCACGTCCCTCCATAAACGAATGCTTCTTTCTCTCCCCTTGCTTATCTGGGGAAACGCCGCTGTCCCATGGTCTTATCAAAAGACATGGCAGAGCCAGACCTCTGAAATTACTGCGTCGAGATTAGGGAATGCCGTCCCAAACCAAGCCCAAACTCCAACCTGAAATGCGAATTAAGACCAGACTCCGACTGTCCCATCATCCATCTAGGACATGAGACAGTGAGCAAGCGACCATCATGTGAGAGTGTTGTCCTGTCCCGTGCAATGGGCAGCAGACCGAGAGCTGACCTGTTTCTTCAAAGTGCTTTCTTGTCGACCTTTGCTTTATTGATCGTCCAGAAGAGGTGCCCGTTCTCGGTCCTCACTGACAATCACACCTTCATGTCGAGCGCTTCGATCCGCTCCAAAGATTTTGGGAGCGCCCACTGCCAGGGACAGGACGAACAGGATGCCAGCGATGATAAAGGCAAAGATCCACTGGAAAGCTACGACCTTGGTCGCAAGTTGGCCCAGGGCCAGTGCTGTTCATGTCAAGTTAGCAAGAAGTATCCAAAAGACAGCACGGTGCAGCTCACATAAGGCGAGTATTGTCAACTCAAACCCCATGGTATAGTCCTTGAAGACTGCAAGGAAGAAGGCACCCAGCATGAGAATGCCCCAAATAAAGATGTTGGCGACAATCCGTGCAGGCAACCTGGTAGCGCCGGGAACCATTACCGCACCATTCCAGAAGATTGCGACATAGTTCCAGGCTAATGGAGCGGATACGATGGGGATGTGAATGATCAACGGGGTGGTGGGATGGCCAAAGTAAAGCGCTGTCAAGTTGAACAGGTTCACGATGAGGAGGAGTTCGCCCTGCCAGAAATACGACCGAACCCAAAGCAGGATGAAGCCAAAGGACAAAAGATTGTGCTGTCCGATCATGTTAATAAAGCTGTGTCCACTCCAGTGTTTCAAAGCCGTACCAGGATGAAATGCGAGCCCACATTGGCAGCATGAGTCACGTAGCTCTTCTCTGCACTCCAAAGGAATCGTACATAGTGCGCCTGCAATATGAGGACAACGACCCAATAGATGCTTGTTAGCACCGAGTTGACGCTGAACCCTGTCGGATGGCGATTGTTCTGCCCCCAAATTGTGTGACAATGTCTGTGATGTTTGCAGTCGGCAGGACGCTCAAAGGTATAGACTGCCCCGAATATGACGAGCAAGAGCCAGCTGACTATCGTGAGGACCTTGTAGGCAATGAGATTCCTTTGGGTGAACTCTTCGCGCTTTGCGAAAGGATTGTCTACAAGCATGTGTTAGCAGAAATGGTCGAAAGAAAGTTCGCAGGTTGAGCAGTTCCATACAGTCTGTGAGAGCCATCTCGAGTACCTATGGCCAAGTGGGAAGATTTGAATGCTTTTCTTTCTGCCAGCAGCTGTCTCCAGAAAGCAACCAGGCACAGCGATTGTTTACAGAAAAGGGATTGAGAAAATAAGGGATAGTATTGCAAAGGAAGATGAACTTGAGCAGGCAGGGTCAATCCAACAGCAACGGCGGTAATACCCGGGCCCTGCTTCTCCAGGCTGTCCTCGTGATCGACCTGGGCACGCCGGGGTCTTCTTAGCAGTGCAACGATGGTTTGAAGCAGGGAGAACAAGAAGTCGAATAGGGGATTGATTTGCATGCAGGAAAACGACTCCAGCCATTCATCCGTCGTTGAGCTCAAACAAGAATCGTGGGGAAATGACGTCAAGAAAATAGGCCGCCACCACCGCCCCTTGGTGCCCTCACGTGCTAGCCAAATCCCCTCGTGCATTCCCCATGGTAACACTTTCACATGCGTTGTACATTGGGCGGACATGCTGCGGCAGGTAACAAAGACAAAATCATTAGACTACGCCTTGTTGTTTAGACACAAGCAGACACAGATTAGGCCGCAAGGCTGGGAGAAGCATGATGCAAGGTCTCACATTATTCAGATATTGGCTACCAGCAAATAGTGGGTATATGTGTCTGACAGATCACCGCGTGCTCAGAACTTGGCCATAGCGGCCTCATATGCAAACCCGAGCGTCATCTTCGCATGTTGAAGCATGTGGTCAAAGCTCAAATACTTGATGAGGTCGTCCGTGGTGTGGATTTTCTTGTCCGAATATTCAAAATCCGACTCGATCACAAACGCCGACGGATAGCCATATTTGCTGGCTGAAGCATGGTCCGAACAGGCATATCCACATTTGGTCAGTGTGTAGGGGATGTCACAGTAGACGGTGATAATGCCTTCGACGAATTTTGTCAATGCTGGGTCCACAAAGTCCGTAATGACGCCGACCGATTCAGGTTTGCCATGTGCGAGGGTCTGCTCGATGTACCCTGTCATGTCTTGCTGGATCATGGCCTTGATGTCCTTGCCTTCTTCAGAGTAGGACTTGAAAATCGCCTGACTCCCAAGGAGGCCTCCTTCCTCGGCCGAATACCAGTGGAACTCGATTGTATTCTCACTAGAACCGTTCACGATCTTGTCCGACTGCAACAGGGCCGTCATAGCCTCGAGGATAGTCACCGTCCCACTGCCATCATCATCGGCTCCGGGAGCACGGAGGTAGGGAAAGAACATATTGACACTGTCCAGATGTGCACCAATTACAATCGTGTGGTTCGTTCGTCCAGGGAATCGAGCAATGATACTTGACTGTCCCCAGGAATGCGGGAACAAGTTGAGGGAAGCGCTGTAATTGAATGCGCCGGATGCTTCGATGACTTCCTTGATTTGGTCATGCAACCACAAGGCGGCATCAATGCCTGTCTGGCTCCTGTAATAGCGCGTGTGGAATGATGTGAGACCTTCCAGGTGCTTGCGCATATTGTCCTTGTCCAACGTCTTCGTCAAGGCCTTGACCTCGTCCATGTGCTTCGGTTTCGAGGGATAGACGATCGCAGCCGACTGGGATACCTCTGTGTATGGGTATGTGTCTTTTGTTTCGGTGATGTCCATAAACTTGACTCCATTCTGTTGCCCTCTGAATTAGCAGTGTTCTATGTGCGGATAAAGCGAATGGTGTAGCACATACTCTCATAAGCTCCCATTTTTCATCCTCTTCAACCCATCTCGTTTCTCCTGGACTCAATTCAATCAAAAACAGTTCCTCAGTCGATGACTGGTCATCTTGAGGAATTATTGCATGTTGAGAATGAGTCTCGACTGATCGTGCGAAAGCGGAAGCGGCTAGCGACGTGACCAGGAGCTGGAGGGACCTCATATTAATCAGTATGTCGAAGGTAAAGGAAAAGAACGTGTGAATCAAGAGCCCGAGTGGAATTCAACAGGCTATAGGCAGGCTGTGTACTCGGTACTTGGTGTATTCCCTTGAATCGCCCTATGCGGACGCAGGACGGATGTTGAATTGCATCTGGGTTGGAGAAGCAGGCACCAGGGACTCGCCATCAGCTTGTTGAGCTTCCCCAGCGCCGCCCCCCCACTTCAGCAGGGCGGCACCCCCTTTAGGTGACTTGCCTTAGACTGTGCTCGTATGGTCCTCATGCACAACTTGGATCGCCTACTGAGAGCACTTCAGATCCGCCGTTACCTAGGAATGCATCGCACTTTTGGCCAAAGCAGATAATACTAAGAGTCATTGTGATACATATGTAGATTCTGTCATTGCTCAGTATAGATCAAGCTTAGTATGATATCCACGCAGCTTCCGTCCATCGTTGACTCATGTTCAGTCAATCCTACCGGCACGATGTTTAGGGCTTCTTCGTCATTCGTCCGCAGCCGAGGGGCCATGACTCCCACTAATTAAATGTGCGAACTTGCGGGTCTCCAACCGCCGGCGGGAGTGCAGGTCATCTCTATCTTAGGGGCAGCTTCGACCGCACATCCTTAACAACTTCATCTTTCGCATCCTGTCGATTTACTTCTTCCACAGACCTTTCTTCATCTCCACGATTGTGGTGCGTTTGCTCCGCTGTCGGCTTTTGATTGTTCGTCCTGCTTGTTCATTTTGCCACTGTCTTGCAGATCTGACGCGGTATTAATCAGTTATCATCAACTGTCATGACTATCGTTCCGATAATGGCTGCACCTGAGGCATTCGCGCCGGTGATTCCTCAAAGTACCGAAGCATTGACTACTCGGATGAATAAAGTATCTATTGATACTTTGTCCACACCTGAGCGTGCTCACGTTGCTACCAATGCGGTTCGGATCACCGTTCCGACTGACGCCACCACGAGAACGGCGAGCATCGCTAAGTCAGGACTTTACGCCGACCGCAAGCTCGTCCGTCGCGACAGTTTGGAACGTCGCGAAGCCTTTCTCAAGGGCAAGGAGGGGTCACGACAGCGACGCCGATGGGAAAATGGTATTCCTACACCTACCCGGAGATAACTGCATGAAAACTGAAGAAAGTTTTAACGCATAGATCGCCTTCTGTCAAACCCTTGGGCTGTTCCTCCCCTACCTTCTGACTGGGAAATCCGTCCCACCTACCCTCGAAGAACCGTGCCCTACTATCTCGCTCCGCTATGGGATGCTGCTGAGTTTCAACGGGCCGTCGAGTCAAAGCTCAAGGGCCGCCGGGAGAGCA